CTCACCCCACCTCCCAGCGCCCCGGCTTAACGTCTGTTCTAGAACTGTGACCCCGGAAGCTGTGGGAAGCCGCGGGAATGGCAGTTTCTAAGCTCGTTCCGTGTCCTAAGAACCGGGCTTGGTTGGGTCCGCGGCTCCAAAATCCGGCCAGACCCAAGTGTGGGTGCACCCCGTCTGCGGCCACATGGGAGGCAGACGCGTGGGCCAGCACCCCGCGGCCAGCCCTCGGGGGCACGTCCGCCGCGGAGACGAAGGTGGGAGGCCGTGGGAGCCCCATGAGCACGGAAGCAGCACAGTTAACATCAAGGGTCTCCAAATCAGAGCGCGACGCCTGCCTTAATTAGACGCAGAAACCTCCAAAAGACTTAAAAATTCCAAAATCGTTGTTGAAAGAACGGCTTGGCAGCTGTTAATTTCTCAGCAGCTTTTTGCAGTTGGTCCCTGAGTCGTCAGACAGGCTGACGGAGCCTGGCTGCTCCCCTCTGGCCGCGCCGCCCGTCCCCAGAGGCTGCGGGGATGCCCTGCCCAGGTCCAAGGCCACAGAGAATGTCCCAGGCAGGAAGCCCTCGTGTGGACGACCTCCCGAGATCAGCGATAACGAAGAAGATAAGAGGGGGACCCCTGGTGTGGCCCGACTTGTGATCACAGCTGATATCCGGAGCCTGACAGGATCATTTTTTTAACTTAATTCTTTGCAGGCCTTTCTCCCAAGCTAGAATAAAACTGTGTCCCCAGAGGGAAAGCGGCAGCCTGAGGTCACTGAGCTTGGGGGCGGGGGAGGAGGGTCCGCCCGTTGACACGCAGGCTGCTCCCGCTCTCCGGGATCTGGAAACAAGGTCCTGCAGATCTCTTCCACAGCACAAGTGTGGCTCCAGAAGCAACTCCTGCCCCGTCTGTCTTTACCAGCCCGGACACCTCCCCTGCTCCTGTGTTCGCGGGGGCCACGGATCCGGTAAGAGGACCTGGGACTGGGCCGTTCTGCTCTTCAGAACAGGGAAGGGAACCTTCGGCAGCGGGCGGCCAGGGTGTGGGAACAGGTCCTTAAGCCCCTGATCTCCAGCCAGAGACTCTGGAGCCTCTCCGTGCCTTTGCGGTGTAGACTTTCCACTCCCGGCTTCCCCAGGACTCAGAGCAGTGCCCAGAAATGCAGACGAGAGGGAGAGGTTTCTCAGCAGAGCGGGAAGAGGGATGGGTTTATGTAGTTTGGCTCCCTTTTAGAGAGGAACTAAAAGATATCTGTGTCTATTAGCAAACACGTTTTTGTGCCACATGGAACCAAAGTGTACCAGCAGGAAGCCTAGGTCTCTAGAAACCGGCAAATTGGTCTACGCGTTACAATCTAGAGAATACTAATGGGAGAGTTCACAAGCACTGCTGGCATTCTCCGGCTTCAAAAATTCTAATGTGATCAAAGCTACTAGAAATAATAAGGAAAACATTCCCGTACACAAGGAAAGTGTGATTTTGGTAAAAGGAGTTCTGAGGAACGCAGATACACTTGGAGAGGCCGAAGAAAGCTGCAGGTTTGTGGAAAAAGAATCTTAAAAAAAAAAAAAAAAGTTTTATTTGTCAGAGAGCACATGCACGTGCAAGCGGGGGCGGAGGGAGCAGACTCCCCACTGAGCAGGGAGCCCCTGAGGAGGGCTCCATCCCAGGACCCTGGATCATGACCTGAGCCAGATGCTTCACGGACTGAGTCCCCAGAAAAGGAAATCTTTGAAGAGAAATTTTAATGTGTAGTCAAGCTGGCTAAGGTTAAAATTTAGTTTTAATATCAGAGCAAGTGCAACAAAATTGGTTTTTACTCTTAAAATGAAATTTTCTTGGACTTCAGTTTTGCTGTTAGCAGACTGTGAAAGTTTCTTTACCTTTTAAATAATGTGCCAAGGAGCCAAGATTGTGCACCAGGTCTTAAGTTTCTGGTACTTTGAAGAAAACGACCTAATTAAGTACTCTTTTTGACAATGGTCTGTGACCCTCTTCAGTCAAGTGTCCAAACGTGCTGCTACTCTGGACAAAATCCCCAGAACTGAATTCTAAATAAGGTCTCCATTGACTCTGAACTAAGTTTTGAGAATTTCCAGAGGGTCCCTGGACCATCTCACAAGATTTGTTCCCACTGATACAAAGAATGACGTTGGGTTAAGTAGGCTTATCTGGTGTGGACTTCTATGGAAAGCCCGTCACGTACATGACCATAAACTTTCTTAGGTTGCGCGGTTGGGGTGAGTATGAGTATGTTCTATGAATTACATGAAAGTCCTAGAAACCTAGTATGTCCTGGAGACTGTTGGTTGTATTTCCAGTTATCTTAAAATGTACGGAAATAAGCACCTTGCTTGGTCAATTCCATTACAACGAACTCTCCTGGGGTCGTGAACAGCGGGCAGCGGAAGTCCTGTCTGGTTACTGACCCGCTGCTTTACTGTGATGCTGGGGCCCCAGCATTCCCGCAGCGGCACCTCACCTTCAGGGAGGGTCCAGGAATGGACTCGACAAGGACGGGCTTCTGAGAATCTTCCAATCCGGAAAGTGAGCTGGGTAAGACTTTCTGGAACTGATGGATCACGGACTCAAGGGGAACAAGCACTACCCGGGGCACGAGTTCAGGAGAACGGTAATCCGTGACTTCCGCTTTGAAACTGCCCGTTCTTTTGTTTTTCCAGATTTAAGGAAACCACCTTCTCTTAAGGTTTCAACTGTTTGAGGAAACAATGTGTCTTGCTACCTGATCCCTCCAGAATCTGCCCACTTGGTGTTCTCATCTTAGTGGCCTCATGCGTGAGGACTGTGCTCAGATTCCACGCCGGCGACAGCACAGGATTGAGAAGGTTCGTTACATCACTAGTCCTGACTAGAACATTCTATCTGAAAGCGACGTAAAGACTCTGAGATGATCAGCTTTTGGGAACTAAGGCTGACTTTATGGACCAGTAAGACCCGGGGGAACATCATCCTGGCCCCTCGCTTACAGGATGCCTGGCGGCCTGGCCTGGTCTGCAAGGAAGGGCACTTCCTGGCAGGCCCAGAAACCTCAGGATATTTTGGGGACCTCGAGGGGAGAGGAATTCCCCTAAATCTGTATGTCCTGCAGGCAAAGTCTGACGGCAGGTCCTTGGTGTGGGCTCTTGGCCTCGAGAGGCTTCTGAGATTCGTCTAGGACCTTTAATGGAAAGTTCCAGCAAAGCAGATTTAATAGAGCCTATCTGTGAGCCCTGTTTTCTGCACTTCTGTAAATAACCAGGCCGGGTCACTGAAACGACTTCACTGGGAACCAGATTTAGTCTTGCTCTGGGTTCTCTGATGGAAGTGGGGTGCTGTGCGGACCCTGTGCTTTCCTAACATGCCTCCTCGGACCGCAGAGTCGACGCTGCTCCTGGGCTCTGAGGTTCTGTCTTCTGCCTGTAAAATGGACCAGGTCCCAACTTCTACTTTCCTCCTACATTTGGCTGCAACTCTCCAAACTGAAGTTTCCACCTCCCCCTGCCCTGCTCACTTGGGGCTGTCGGGAACCAGAACTGGCCGTTTCCTGCAGCCATACCAGCTGGGGCCGGACCCTGCCCCCCCCACACTCGGGGAAACCACCCCGTGTGGACAGTCTCTGTGCCCACTACTGTGTGGGCCACGCGGAAAGCTCACTAGTGATGGTCACACTGCAGGTCAGGGCCACCTGTCCAATGGCTTCCACACATCTGAAGCTGCTCTGAGCGCCAGGGCTCGGAAAGTGGGCGGCGGCCTGTGCCACTGACCCGGCCTGGTTTCCTGCTGTCCCCACAGAAAAGCCTCTTAGCAAACACCGGGTTACTCGCCCCCGGCCCGCCTCGGCAGCCTCTTACACGCTGCCTCCCGAAATGAGGCCCAACTGCTTAATGGAACGAAGCTACTGTCAGGACTAGGAGACGAGGTCAGCGAGCCGCTCAGTTCCCCCGCGGCAGAAATTCCCGGAGACGTCAAAGGTAGGACCGTGGCAGGTGGAGGATACGTGTCCCCCACCATAGGCTACTTCGGCAAATGGATTACTTCGAGCTGAAGACAGGATGCAGCCCGTGTAAGGAAAACATTTACATCTTCCTGAACCACGTAGAAGGGTTTGGGTGGGGGGGGGGTCTCGCTCAGAGGGGGAGCTGTTCCCGGCTATAAACTCTGACCTGTCCAGGGGGGCAAAGTTCTGTGAACCCCCCTGCTCTCCCCTGCCCCTGCCTTAGCTCAGGACGGCACAGAAGCCTCAATCGCCTGGCTAGTCCTTGGGGCTCCTGTCCTTATGGGTCCCTTGTACGTAATTAAGCCTTTCTCCCGTTTATCTGTCACCTGGCTTATCAGACCAGCCAGAGGACCTAGCGGGTAGAGCAGAAAACGCCTCCCGCTACTCTGTAAATACTGGAGCGACTGCCCCGACACGCACGATGAAAAAACACCGAAATCGTGCCTGGTTCAGAAAGACCCCTGAGCGCGCCTGCTCGTGCACTCTCCGTGTGCTCCCTCGGAGCGCGCTGCGTTCGGGGCCCCTCTCTCCTCCCCGGGACGGACGAACCACAGAAGAAATACGGTGGAATCTTCCCTGTCGCCGGGCCCGGCCACGGCGTGTGGGGTCAGCTGGAAAGGAATCAGTGAATCAAAGTGATGTGTGGAGTTCTGGGATGTGAGGGAAGGAGAGCCGGGCGGGGCGGTCTGCTGGGTGTTCCTCTGCCTTTATGCCCAGATGTACGGGGATTTACAGAGGGAGGACGGTTTAGGATAGTTTCCAGCTTTTCTCCGAGCATATTCAGAATTATGGGATGAAGCAGCTCAGCTTCCGAGAATAAACAAAAGGGACCCAGTGCCTCCTTGGAGCCACCGCGGCCCCTGCCCGCCATCCCCGGAGCCTGTCACCCCCGGACTCCTAACCGCCGGCAGAGCCGCAGGCACGGAGCTCGCTGCAGTTGGACGAGCTGTCCGCAGTCTGGCCTCCGCGCAGCTCCGCACCCGCCAAAGGTTTTGCTGGCTCCGCCGGTTGTTTCCTGTAGGAGCTCCCGCACACGCCGCTCGCGGAGGCCCTGGGGCTCCAGAGGGTGAGGGCCCTAGGCCAGCTTGAGGCACTGTGTGTTGAAGCTGTCGCCCTCCTTGCTGGCGACCGCCTCGAGCAGTGCCTGCTTCTTCTGCATGCTGCGGGAGGACTCCAGCTCGTACATGGTGGTCAGGTTGAAGAGGACGCTCTCGTGCAGGTAGTGCTTGGGGTCCTGCTGGACCATGGCCTCTAGCTGCCGGAGGGAGTCCTTGAGTTTGCCCAGGTAGAGCAGGCACACAGCGGCGTTGTTGTTGGCCTGGAGGGGAGGACGCGCGCACAGGGTCGGACCCGGCCGCCAGCGGTCTGCGCGGGGGGGCCCCGTCCTGGGAGAGGGGCGGGGGGAGCCGCCGAGGCTGGCCCTGCCGGGAAACCCCACGCCCGCTGGGACAGATGCCCGCGGACGCCGCACGGGCCCTGGCTGTGAGCCCCTGGCTCTCGTGGGACCTTACCACGGCATTTGTTGGGTCGATCCTGAGGATTTCTGTGAAGAATCTGTGGGCTTCGGCGAAGTTATTCTGGCCAAGGTGCAGGAACGCTCTGGAACACAAAGGACAGGGGGAGCAGGCAGGCAGAAGGGTGGAGGGCACGGGCAGGAGCGTGCCCCATCTCCTCGGGGTAACTGAGCAGCCTGGTGCTGGGGGCTGGGGGGACACCACAGCTGGATGAAGCACATCGCGCCCTGGCCGGCAGACCGCACCCTTGCAGGTGACCTAGGACTTCAGTGCCCTCCTGCTGGACAAATGGACACTGGCGTGACGGTCACTTTCTGCGGTGGCGTGAGCTCTGCACTGGGCACAGGCTCCATCTTAAGGACACCCCCACCCCTACCCCACACTGTGTGTGTGACTCCCAGACATGTAAATGGGGCATCAAAGCAGCTGGGGGAGGCTAGAGAGGATAAACATTTATGCAAATTTATGTTGAAAACGGGGACAATATAAACATTTTAAAATCTGCTGAGACTGAAAGGTGCCTAAGTTCAAGGAGACATCAGTGGGTGTGTTGGGTGGTGAGGGACTTGGGGTTCAGGTCTGGGGCACCGGGTGGCACACCTTCCCCAAGGGGCTTTACTCAGGGTGTCTGAGCTCTTGGGAAATTTGAGAAAATAGTCTTCAGAGGTTTACCTGTTCATTAAGACCATTGTCTTGCCTTGCAGTCCATCCAGTTTCTGGGTGACTTTCTCCACGTCTTGAAAATACTTCTCGGCTGTTTTTATGTCTCCAATCTGCTCTGACAAAGTCAGTTCAGGAGGCGGGATCAGGAGGCGCACAGCCACACGCACAGCCGCCCGGCACGTTAGGCTCAGAACATGCGCTTGCACCGGGTGGGGAAACGGTAACGTCGCTGGTCATTACCCCTTACAGCGCCGGTCAGGACACGGGGGAAGGCCGGTGTCCCAGCTTGGGAACGAGGTGAATTACAGGCCTTACTTGGCCTCAGTGGTTAATCTGTACCCTTTGAAAGGAATCCCAGCACCAAGTAAAATAATGAAGAACAACTTTCAAAGAGGGGACACCAAGTGGGAGGACCCTAAGCTCAGCCGGTCCCACGACGCAGCCAGAGAACGTCAATGCAAACAACCCGGAAGATGACCTCAGGGCGGCACAAATCCCACAACGCAAGGCAGAGAAGCCGGCACATCCAAGACAGTAGGAAGGACGGAGATGCGGTTGGGAGTTAAACCTTGGGCAGCCACAGGAGGGGGGCCGTGGGTGCGGACAGGGGTGAGAAATGGATGAGCTCGCCAGGGACCCCACACGGGGCAGATGAATCCCCGGGACCATCTGGACTTGAACACTAGACAGGCTGAATTGTGTGAGTTTTTACAACCAGCAGGACTTAAAGCCTGGAACTTTAAAAACCAGCCGGCTTGGCTCTGGGAGAGCCCGGAGGTACTGGCAAGCTGGGTCCCTGCCCTCACAGGGACAGCAGGGCAAAGACCATGAGATCTAGATCAGAAGCAGCAGTTTGAAAACTGCCCAGGGCCTGAGGGAGGGGGAGCTCCTGAGGGACCTGTGCAAGAAAAGAGGGCAGCTGGCGGGCAGCATGCCCTCCCCTACCCCCAGCACAACCACACAGCCATCCAGATTCATTCCTAACCTGCCTGCACTGTGTGCAACCCCTCCAGCTGGGCCCGCCACGCGTCCCTTCACCCAGAGGACCAGCACAAACCTACGCGTCCCTTGACTTCGCTGGGAGAATGCACACACCCTGTTAAAGCACCCTGTCCCTCCCACATGCCTGTACACATCTTGCAGTGGCCCCCGCCAGCCCCGGTCTCCGTGGTGGCCGCCATCCCCCATGGAAGAGGACTGCTGCACACAGCTTATCACGCCACACCCCTGCCGGTGGGCACTTGGCAGAGTGGCCCTGGCCAGCCTTGTCTCTGTAGCAGCCGTGTGGAACAGATCGCGACAACTCGAAACCGTTACCAGATGTGCAAAGAACAAAGAGAAAAGAGTATCACTGAAGAAAGTCAACAAACCATGAAAGACCACAAGAGAAGAAAGGATCCGAGAAAAACTACACAATCACACAAGTAACAAAATGGCAATAAGTACACATCTATCAGTAATTACTCTGAATGTAAATGGACTTAGTGCTCTGGACAAAAGACAGTGGGTGACGGAGTGCACTAAAACAAAATACCATCTGTATGCTGCCTACAAGAGATTCATTTTGGACATAAAGATGCCTGATGATGGAAAGTGAAAGGATGGAGATACGTTTATCATGCAAATAGATGTGGAAAGAAAGCAGGATAGCAATGCTTAGGTAAGACAAAATAGACTTTAAGAGAGACAGAGAAAGGACACTATATACTAATAAAGGGAACCATCCAAGAAGGTATAAACAATGGTAAATATTTACGCATCCAGCATCGGAGCAACCAAATACACAAAGCAGTTCGTGACAAACGTGAGGAGGCTCGCTGACAGTAACAACAGCGGAGACTCCCAACACCCGCTCGCGTCAACGGACGCATCATCTGAGCGGATCGTCAACAAGGACACAACGGCTTCAAATGACACACGGGACCAGAGGAATCTACCAGATATATTTAGGACATTCCATCCTAAAGCAGCAGAATGCTTTCTTTTCAAGTGCGCACAAAACATTCTCCAGACCAGATCACATATTTGGCCACAAAACAAGTCTCAACAAATTCAAGAGGACTGAAGCCATACCATGTACCTTTTCTGATCACAATGTATCAGAGAGGACACAGAACAGGAGGACAACCCGTAAAGACCACAAATACACAGAGGCGGAGTAACAAGCTGCTAAATGATAAACGAGTCAACCAAGAAATCAAATGAGGCAGAAATTGCACAGAAACCAGTGAAAATGAGGATACAAGGGTCCAAAACGTCTGAGACACAACAAAAGCAGTTCTAGGAGGAAAGTTTGTAGCTCTACAAGCCTCCCTCAAGTAGCAAGAAAAGTCTCAAACAACCTAACCTTAAGCCTAAAAGAGGTAGAAGAAGAAGAGTAAACAAAACCTAAAACGAGCAGAAGGAAGGAAATTATAAAGATTAGGGCAGAGATAAATGATGTAGAAACTAAAACAAGAACAACAACAACAACAAAAGAAAAACAAAACAAAACAAAACAAAAACCCCAGGGACACCTGGGTGGCTCAGTTGAGCATCTGCCTTCAGCTCAGGTCATGATCTTGGAGTCCTGGAGTTGAGCCCCAGGTCAGGCTCCCTGCTCAGTGAGGAGTCTGCTTCTCCCTCTCCCACAGCTGCTCCCTCCTGCTCATGCTGTCTCTCAAATAAGTAAATAAATAAATAAAGTTAAAATAAACCCTTGCCCCGCCCCCCCGTAAAACAGATCAGTGAACCCAGGAGCTGGTTCTTTGATAAAATCAACGAAATTGATGAACCTCTAGCCAGACTCATAAAAAAAAAAAGACCCAAATAAACAAAATCACAAGTCAGAGAAGAGAAATAGCCCACAGCAGAGAAACACAAACAATTGTAAGAAAACATCACAAAAAATTATATGCCAACAAATCGGACAACTGAGAAAAAATGGGTAAATTCCTAGAAACATAAACTATTCAAACTGAAGCAGGAAGACACAGAAAATCTGAACAGGTCATTTTCCAGCTATGAAATTTAATCAGTAATAAACAATCTCCCAACAAACAAAAGTCCAGGACCAGGTGGCTTCACGGGGAACTCTACGAAACATACAAAGAAGAGCTAATACCTATGCTTCTCAAACCATCCCAAAGAATAGAAAAGGAAGGCAAACTTCCGAATTCATTCTGTGTGGCAAGCATGACGATGATACCAAAACCAGACAAAGACACTGCCAAAAAAGAGAACTGCAGGCCAATATCCCTGATGAACAAAGATGTAAAATTCCTCAATAAGATATTAGCAAACGCAATCCAACAGTACATTAAAAAAAAACCATTTGCCACAATCAAATGGGATTTATCCCTGGGATGCAAGGGTGGTTCACTATTTGCAAATCAATCAATGGGATACTCACATCAGTAAAAGAAAGGATGAAAGCCATGTGATCATTTCATTAGATGCCGGAAGAGCGTCTGACAAAGTACCATCCATTCATGATAAAAACCCTTAGCAGTGTAGGGTTCGAGGGAACATCCGTCCACGTAACAAAGGGCAAGCAGGGAAAACCACAGGTGACGTCATCCTCAGTGGGGAAAGACTGAGAGCCCTTCCCCTAAGGTCAGGAACAAGACAGGGATGTCCACTCACCACTTTCATTCAACACAGTACTGGAAGCCCCAGCCTCAGCGGTCAGGTAAGAAAAAGAAACAACAGGCATCCAAATTGGTAAGGAGGAATCCAGACTTTCACTATCTGCGGATGACACAATACTATATATGGAAAACCCTCAAGGCTCTACCAAAAAGCTACTAGAACTGACAAATTCGGTAAAGTCACAGGATATAAAAATCAGTGCACAGAAATCTATTGCCACAGGGACTCCAAGACCACAGCTGGCCTCCAGTGTCAGGCTGTCCTTGGACCCAGTGTGGGTCTCCTCTGCTTCCCACGAACAAACAGTATGGGCTGGGGGTGGGGCAGGAGTAGGAGATGTGAGCGTGTGCGCGCGTGTGTGGATGACTGGGGGTGTAAGAGTGCGTGTGTGCATGCACTAGGGGTGTAGGGGTGTGTGGAGATGTGTGTGTGCGTGTGTGCATGCTGTGGGGGAGTGTGTGTGCATGTGGATGACAGGGCGTAGGAGCAGCGTGTGCACGTGTGTGTGTATGTGGTGTGGAGGACGGTGTGTGGACCCCTTTGGTGAGGAGAACCCGGGCCCGGGGCTGAGAGGGCCCTCGGTCAATTCCTTCCTGTCACACTGCTGTCTCTGCCGCTGGGGAGCCCCGTCTGCTACGGTGTGAAAGGGCCGGGAATGCCCAAGGGGGGGCGGCTCTGCACGGCGCGTCCCACGTGAGCGGTGCCCAGAGACGCCTGGCCGTCCTCCGACTATCGGGAACCGTCCTCGGCCCACACTCCCTTCCGCAGCCCCGGCTCGGGGACGTGACAGTGGAAGCCCTAGAGGTGGAGGGGGTGCCGCGGGCAGAGGCCGCTTGGCCCCAGCTGCAAGGGTGGGGCGGCCGTCCGGGGAGCGCTGGGCGCGGGGGGGCGCGCATCGCCCCGGCACCGGCTGGTCAGGAAGACGCGTCCCGGCGCTGGCGCTGCTCTTGCCTCGGCCTCGGCCCTGCCGGGGCTGCCGCACGCTGGACTCTGCTCTTCCTAGCGCAACAGCAGCCCGGGACTCTAGGACCAGCCGCGTTCGGGGAAGGCTCTGTGTGGTGTTACCACCACCCTTCTGGGTGCGACAGGGGCCTTCTGAGTCCCGTTTCGGGGCTTTAGCAATCGCAGTCGAGGGAGATGCCCGTCAGGCAGTTTGGCTTCCCGAAGCCGCTACAGCCCGTGGGACCTGACACAGTCAAACCAGAACTACCGTGAAGACCGAAACCCCTAACATCGCAGGTGAAATATTTACTGGGCTACTTCTTTTCTCTTTAAAATTTTATCTGTTTCAGAGAGAAAGCGCCGGCCGGGGGAGAGTTGGAGCAGGGAGCCCGATGTGGGGCTCGATCCCAGGACCCCGGGATCCTGACTGGAGGCGAAGGCAGACGCCCACCCGCCCGAGCCCCCCTCCCGGACGCCAGTCTGTGCTGTTTCCTATGCGTCCCGGGCCGCCCAGATGGCCCCAGAGGGGACGGGCCGCCCGAGCTCGCGGCCGTCGTGGTCGTACCTGCAAGAAGATCCGGCCGATGCCGCTGAGCAGCTGCGGCTCCTGCTCCGGGCAGTGCCGGATAGCCGCGTGGTACGCGTCCACGGCCAGCACGTAATCCTGCGGGCAGAACACCAGGGACACTTCGGGTTAGAAAGGTCACGCTCGGGTTTAGGACGCTAGTGGCTCAGTAGCCGCACATTCACACGAGGAGAGCGGGCCCGGGAGGGTGGGAGCCGCTGGGGGGCGGGAGACCCAGGGCCAGAGCCGGGCCCTCGACAGGCCTGATGGTCCCTCAACGTTGCCACCTCAACGGCAACAGGAATTCGCCGGCACAAAACCATCCATGAACTGGTGACTTTCATCCTATTTCTCTCTGCCAAGTCCCTAGAGCAAATTTATGAACAGCATCTCTTAATGTTTCCTATGCTAGAAATGGCGGGAAAGTCCTTACACACACACGACACCCCACACCAAACACCATAGCGGGGTGCAGGCCCGAGGTCCTCTGTGGGGCTCCCCCCGCCGCGCTGGGAGGTGGTGCCCACGACTCCAGCCGTGCCAGAGCTGGGTGCGCGACCCCGCTGGCCACCGAGCCGGTCGTGCGGGCTGCCAGCGGCCTCTGCCAGCCCCTCTCGGTCGTCAGAGTGCCTCCACGCCGCCGTGGGGGAGCGGGCCGGCCCGGCCATCTCTGCGCCTCCCCTGCTGCCCCACCAATGCTGGTCCGCGGGGGGCCCCGGTCGATGCTGAGTCAGGAAAAGCCTGTCCGGCCACAAGGAAGAGGTGGAAACCGCCATCTCTCTCGGGCGACAAGGTCCCCTGGCAACGCTGCTGGGGACGTGGCCCTTGGCTCATCTCGGGCGCCCCAAAACCCCGGCTCTTCGGAACAGCAGCGATCATGGATGTTTACAGAGCAGGCCCGGCGTGGCCACCGTGCTCTTCGGAGTCCCAGCACGCGGCCACGAGACATGCGGCAGCAGATGCGCGGTCACCCCCGCAAGTGCTTTATTCCTCCGCATTTGCAGGCAGAGCCAAGCTGCCCGTGTGCTCACTGGAGTGGTCTACAGACAGGTGACCAGTAAAATCCCAGTTTCGCAGGAGAATGAAAAAACTCTCCCCAGTCTGGAACCTTCCAGGGACGCTCATTAAGACAAATCTTATTCAAATGACTCAAGGACCCTGACAGCACCCGCCTGTCCTTCCCCCTGGCGTTCTGCTGTCACGGCCGCCCATAGCAGGGCTGCGCAGTTTGAGGGTTGTGTATTGTGCACACGTGTGTGAACATGCATGACTGTGCCAGTGTGAGTGTGTGAGATGTGTGGCTTATGCACAACCGTGAGTGCAAGCACAAGTGTGAGAGAGCAAGCACGTACATGGGCGTGTGTGCAAGCATGAGCAAGTGTGTGCGTGCAAGCCTGAGTATGAGAAACTAAGTGGATACGTGAATGTGTGCACAAGTGTGAGTGTAAGTGTGGGGGTGGGTGTGCAAGTGTGTGCTGAGGCCCCGCTCGGCGGCTGGTGTAGGGCCCCAGCGGAGTGCACAGGACGCCCCCGCGGGCTCCAGGGACAGTCACATCCTGTAATTCAACAGCGGCCCCTTGCTGCCACTTCAGAGAGAACAGAAGGCAGGTCTGATGTTCCTGGTAGCGCTAGAGTGTCACCGACACATGCCGGCCTATGGACACGGTGGCCTGCCCACTTCCACGGAAGTGCAAGTCCACGGAAGCCAGCATCACGGCCTCACAGCTCTGCCTCGGCGCTTCCGGCCAGGAGCCGGCGCTTCCGCAGACTGTCCGAGAGAACGGTCAGAGCACCAAGCACCGATCCCTGATGGGGTTATTGTGCTGCGGACCTGTGAAAACACCACCCTCCGGGCAGAGTGAACCAGGGCAGGTGCACAGGCGTGGGACGCGCGTGGGGAGGCTGGGGAGGCCGGCCCGTCAGACCCCAGGCGGCGGCGGTGGTGCTAATGGTGCCTGCAGCCCATGGGGGACATGGCCCAGGAGTGGCTGCGGCCTCGGGACGGGCTTGGCCACGTTTCACAGAGCCCATTATCAAATAAAGCCCAGCGGGAGCTTGCCACGGAGCTTCCCTAAGGGATTATCATTGCCTGAGATGGTTTATTTACTGGAAGAGGAGGGAACACAGCCTCTTAAATGGAAAATGGCAAAGTGAGCTCTTCTGGGAGCGTCCGGCCTGCGGCGGACAGCGCACCCAGGCTGGAAAGGCCGCAAGGGACCTGCTGACAGGACGGGCCTGCTTCAGCAGCTGCTGCTCTGGAGGCCGGAGAGGGTTTGCATGGACGTCCGAAGGGGGCAGAAGCCAGCTGATGGGGCTGCGTAGCCCCTCGGCTGGAGCCTACGTGGGGCCAGGAGGGGTCTCGGCGGCCCCCCGAGGCAGCAGGTGCTGTGCCCGTGTGCTCGGCCAGTGTGGCTCCTGCTGGCGTGGTACCCAAGGCCCACCACGGGTCCAAGGAGAGGAAGTGCGATTTATAGCATGGGACTGGGCCAGTCTCCCAGGCCACGGCACTCCTGTCCCAGAGCCCCACGGCACGTCCCACGGGAATTCGGGGCGGAAATGTACGAGCTGATTTCCCATCATCAAATAGCATTTGTTTCGCTGTAAAAGAAACGTTATTGACCATAACTGAATGGCTAATGACATAACATGCTGTCGGCCAAGCATGAGCCACACGAGTCGCCACGAGCTGCGCACGCGCTCCCCGCGTGGCCAGAGAAGGTGCACGCGTGCTGGCTCAGGCCTCCACGGCACGGCGTTCCCTCTTCTTAACTCATCAAAGTGTTAAATGTGTGGAAAATTCCAATTAAAGTGCATTCCTCATGATGTATTTCTGAAACCAGAGCAGGCTGTCTCGGGTCCCGGCAAAGCAGGCAGCAAAGTCACGTGGGGGCTCGCTCGTATCTCACCGTCGTCGCGCGGCAACACAGGCACTTTATCCTGTAATCGTCTACTACTGTGTCTTCGTGATGCGAATACAAATCGGCCGGTGGAACACGTAACGTCCCTCCTGGGTAGTGTCAGCCCCCGACGAAGGAAATGTCAGCCCCGTGACTGTACGGGCGGCTCCTCCTCCGCACAAGCTGCTGGGGCTCCCTTGCGGCTGCCGCAGCCCCAGGGAGGGAGGCTGGGGCATGGGGTTCCAGAGCTGGGGAGAACGGCCCGTGCCGGGGCAGAGGGGACGGGGCTAGGCTCTAGGGAGGGACCTGCTCACTGCCAAGGCTGCGGGTGGGAGAGAACACGCTCCCTCCTGCCCACACACATGCCTGGGGCAAGACCATGAGGGATGTCGCCACACTGGCTGCCACCTTGTCCGAACCCCCCAGGGCCCACGCAGCAGGGAGGGGGCTCTGCGCCCGTGCACTGAGGGGCGTGGCATCAAGGTCAGAGCCAGGGTCCAGGGCTCCTGGACAGGAAGGGCGTGGCAGAGTCACTGTCTGTGCCCTCGTGTCCCACCCCTACAGGGCCACCTGGATGGGAGTCACGTCCTGCCCAGTGCAGGCTGCTTGGGGGCGCGCCCAGACCACCCGTCCTCTCCCTGACCGAGCAGGCGCAGGGCTGTGCTGGGAACGCACGCCCACAGCCAAGCCCTCCACGCCGCGCCCAGGGTACGACCTCACATGCAGGGCCGCGAGGGGCAGATGTGTCACACCAGGGCCAAGTGGGACTCACTCCGCGAGGAGCCGCCGGCTCTGCTTTGCTGAAAATCAAGCTCAGGAATGACCTTAGGCTGACCTGCGGGGGACTCAGGCTCTCGGTCTCATAATAGCTCACGAGGGGTCTGGGACGAAGCGATTCCCACAGCAGCCTTCCCTGTCCCCTACCCGGGGCCCCAGCTGAGCCAGGTCCCAAGAGGAGGAAGGAGCTGAGGACACTGCTCTCAGCTGCCAGGGGCCCGCGGGAGACCGGGCTGGAGGAAACAAAGGAGCAACTCCTGACGTCAGCCTCCTGGACGTGTGGGCTGCCTCCTTGGGGGGGGGGCGTCCCCGAGACACAGGGGTCGTGGGCAAGCCCGGCTGCAGATGCCATGGGCATCCATGGGCACGTCTGGTCAGGAAAAGGGAACTCACCCCTCTTCCCCGGGGACCTTTCTGGGATGGAATCCAGAGAAAACCATCGAGGCCTGGGGGGTGGGTGGGAGGGAGGCAGGGAGGAAGAATGAGGATTTTAGTTAAATCGAGACCCACGTTTGAACAATCAGACTGGACACTGTGAACCTGGTGTCTGCTGACCTCTCCCTCACTGTGAACTAACGTCAGAGTCAGAGGGCCACTGAGCTCTCTGCTCGGGCAGCGCCTTCTGCTCCCCGTGGGGCCCCTCCTCACAGGGTCCCGGTGCCCCGCACGGCTTCTGTGACACCCTCTTCCAGAACCGACGTACCTTCGTCAGCAGCAGGCAGTTGGCCACGGAGCACATCACCCGGCCCAGGCGGGACCCCCACAGCTGAATGGAGGCTGCAAGAGAGGGGTGAGCGCACGCAGGTCAGAGGCACGTCCCCTGCTGAGCACGGGGCGTCGGGCCAGCGCCCTTGGCTCGGGAAGGAGAACAGGTGCAGAAGTGCCACAGCAAGGAGAACGGGAGGGTCGTGGGTCAGCTTCAGGGCAGAGAGGAGACCACACGGCCCAACCAGAGCCATGCTCACGGACAATGAGCACACGGGGCTGCCCGCGGTTGCAGTCACTGCCCAGACGCTGGACACCTCTCTGGGCGACCTCTGGGGGCGCCGCCTGGTGGCAAGAGCTCCCGCTGTGGGGCTGGCAGAGGACGGCCCACCAGCGCGTCTGCACACCGAGCTCTGCCTTCTCCAGGCCCCACTGCAGAACCTTTCGGATGAAAACTCTACTCTCATCCCGCCTTCAGACTGAGCATCGGTGTGGGAAGGGCACAGACGTACCGCTTGAAAGGTCAGGAGCATTCTCGCATGGGAGGGAGGGGGTCGGCAATGACGCGGAACCGAAGCCGGCTCCACACGGGTGTCCGCCCAGTGGTGGTCTGTGGTCACACACATGGCCCAGGAGGAAGGTGGGAATGGGAACAGGAGGGCACAGCCGGCTCAGGAGGAAGGTGGGGATGGGGGGACATGGGAAGCCTGGTGGGAGTGGGGAGGACAGCGGAACATGGTAGGACCAGGACGGGGAGGAGGGTGAGGGTGGGCGGGCTGGGCAGGACTTGGAGGAGGGAGGGGGTGGGGAGGCAGGTGGCGGGGGGAACACTGGTGCGGCCGGCCGGTTCAGCCGAGGGCGGGGGCATACTTGCACGACTCGACTTTGGCGAGCTTGCCTTACCCTGAATCTGACTGTCCCGCTGGCCCACTGTGGGGTGACAACCTTCTAGAAATTATGCTTACTCTTGGACTGCTTAAGAACACATAAACCTAACTGCCAGAATTAAGAACTTAACTCACTTCGCCTTCCAGCAATTAGAAATACATTAGCTGCTTACAACATCATTTTTGTGGAAGGAAAAATTCTGAACAGTATCATTTGTTAAGAACATAAAACATGGGCTGTCTCAGTGAACCGTGGTTTACCTCCAGACTTCTTTCAAGCGCCAATTCTCCCCCTATTTACCCTGCAGTCTGTTCATGATGACCCTTAGTTATCCTGGAACTGCTTTCTGGAATCTAGTACCTACCTGCTGATTCCCCTGCAACAGGCCCTCCGTGGGGAAAAGTGACCACGTTCAGACAATGCCCGAGAACGGGATGTCGGAGGGTGAGCGACCTCCCTCCTTGCTCACCCACCTGCAGCTACCCTGCTGGGAAGGGTGTGTACGTGTGCACACACACACACTCCCCTACACACCTGGCTGTCGTCTGGGATTTCTCAGAGGATGCTGTATTTAAAGCAGAAATGTAGCCCAGGGTGGCTGGGCCCGAAGGCAAACGCCTCTTGCCCACGCTGCTCTTCCCTTCTCCCGTGATCCTGGGCACAGCCAGGGTCAGCACACCCCCGGGGGCACCAGCTCAGCCCTCCACGCCGACCGATCTCCTCCCCTGGCCATCTCGCCTGCTCTTGGCCCACCAGTCCTCCCGGAGCTGCTTCAGAGGAAGCCCACGGCATGCCAGGATAATGCACGCCGGCCAGTGGTCAGCACAGCCTGCTCCGAGTCGGGCCCCTGGAGGTGAGACAGAGTGGCACCGATGCTGGGGGGAAAGGGGAGGACAGGCCCTGAGGAAGGAGGGGTAGGTGAAGGGCTTCTTGGGAGGCACCATTTGAGTTGGGTTTTGAAGCATAATTAGTTCATCCTTACTGTTCTCAAGAAATGGCATGATCTCAAAATGCAGCTGGCTCCCAGCAGCGCAGTGCCCAGTGTCAAGACTGAGTCCGTCAGCCTGGCCTCCTCGGCTGTGTGCAAGGCTCTCTTCCTCTCCTCAGCAGGCCCAAAGGGCCTCACACTCCCTCTGCCAAGGCTGTGGCTCTGGCAGGCAGACCCTCCCAGGAACGCCCCTTCCGGGAAGGCCTGAGCTCCCCTCCTTCCCAGCACTTACCCAGCATGGAAGCCACACTGGTTTCTGGATTACTGGGTATAGGTGGGTCCTCTATACTCAATGGGGCTGCCTGTGGGCAGCCCTCATGCCTCTGTTTGCTCTTCATGTACCAACAGTGCCAGGCCCGGTGCCCGGCTTCCCGAATCAGGATGAACTCATGCATTACTGAGTAATGGGTGGAAAGGGGTGAGACACAAGAAAACCTCTGGGGCCGGATCTTCTGACAGCTCTCGGTAATTATTTAGTGAGAAGTCTGGCTGCTGACCTTGCCTGTTCTCCGGTGTGATGCTGCTCATGGTCCCGTCTTCAGCTAAGCCTCGCTCCAGATTTGTTAGGATCTGCAGTAATTCCAAGTAAGAACAACAAAATCATAAAAAATGAAATCGCTTCTAGACTTTGTCATAATATATTCTAGGAGGAGCAGATTTCCCTGTATGAAAACCAATTTGTCAAGGGCTGTTTCACACAGACACACTTTAAATACCTCCATTCGCCCCCCAGGGAGGCCCAGTGGAGGGGAAGCCTCTCTGGTGGGCGGTGGAGACGGGGTTTATGGCGCTCGTAAAGCTCTCGGAGACATCAGACATCGGGCAGATGTTTTCTCTTTGTAAGAAAGGCGTCAAGCATGTTACACATGAGGATGATTATTAACTTCTGTGAAAATACCCGTCTCGTTCCTCCAGGGCCCCGTGGCAGGTGTGGCCTTTTTAAACGTATCAAATACTCTCAGAGCAACTGTCACTTTCCATGGTGTCCACGGATTGGGTCCTAACTTTGGGTTTCTTCTTTTGTGTTTAGGCTTTTCTTGGAAAGGAAAAAAGGCTGTCGCCCCTGGAATCTGGGTAGAGAACGTGTGTTTTGAGTGGCAGGACGAGGAAAGCAGAGCATGGAGAGTAAAGGCTTCTCTGGGGAGAGGAAGAAAGTGCTAACTGAAGAGACGCTGGGTCAGAGCCGTCCTTACTGCCTCAGGGCACGGGCTTTCGGGAAAAATCCTTTCGTGCATGGGATCCCTTGCCAGTTAACGTCTCCCTCAGTGAGCCACGGGCTCTGGGCGTTCTCACGCCTGGGCCCTGTGGACACGGCAGGGAGGGTGAGTGGGGCCTGTCGGCACCTGGAGGAGCCCCTCGATCACTCTGGCCCCGCTGGGCTCAAAGGTGGAACCACAGAGGGTACCTAGTAGGGTCTAAACAGGGTGAGATGACATATTTCAGCCAATCTGACCAGGAAAGGAAGTCCTTGAGCCTCGGCTGGAATGGAGGCTGGACGGGAAGAAGGCGCAAGAACGGCTGAAGAAACAGGTGGCGCGGTATCCTCCTGGTCACGGGGTGGGATGCGGGGGAGGAGCGGCTGTCTAACCAGAGGCACGCCGCAGACACCGTGACAGCAGGGTCACAGGGTGGCCTCGCGCCATGGCCTCTCTGCGGGTGGCCGAGTACCTACCTCCGGGGCCACCGTATCTGCAGCCAGAACTGAGTCACAGGACGCCAGGAGTCTGGGGGCTGGAGCAGTGACTGCGGAGGGAGGTGGGGGCAGAGCTGGCAGGGGGAAGGGCGGGCGACTGCAGGGTGGCAACAGAAGAGAGATGTCCCAGGAAAGGAAGTGGGAGCCCTCCCCTCTGATGCCAACATGCAGACTTCACACGGGCCTCACGTGTTCAACTCTGGGACGTCAGTTCTGTGAAGGGGAGTGACTCAAACACCACCAACCCAAAGCCCCAGCTGTGTAGTCTACGACCGTGGTAAGGTCCCATTTCCTGTCCCCATCCCTTCTGTCCTTGACAAAATGATGGAGGCCCATGTCCAGGTCAGACACTGACAAGTACTCCTGGGTCTCCCCCCACAGTGAGCAAGGCAGGACGCACCAGCCCGGTCCACAGCCGCACCCCATTCACACTCCTCCAGAAATCCTCTAAGTTCATGGACCCTGGAGCACACGTGACTTTGGCATCTGGTATTTTAAGCTTCAGGTTCTGATTTGTATGCCTGTGGTGTGACCCCAAACCCTGGACTTTTAATGAGCTTCAGATAACATTCTGGGGACCGACGGTCTGGGGACCAGTTTGAGGGAAAGCTGTGGGGAAGGAGCCTCGTGCCTCTCCCTCTGGTGGGCTGTCACGGGCTGCAGGGGACAGGGGGGAGTTTTGGGTAACAGGTTTTATGCACGAAACGTCCAGTGTACAGACAACTGGTGGCTGGTCCTAATTCAAGGGCCCAAAGATTAAGAACCTACTTGAGTCAAGACCAAAATGAGAGCAGGTCTTCCCTACAGGGGCTTGGATTTCTCTAGAAAGCCCGAAACCTACCTACTCACCACAGTCTCCGAGGGGAACTTCTGGAAGAGGCTTTCCAAAGTGAAAAGAGGCTTCTTGGAGCCGCTTCAAGCCACTCAAGGAATATTAAACACTTCATGGACCGGGCACCACGCCAAGTCGCTGGTCTACACCCCGATCTAAAGTGCACACAGCCCTGAGGCCGCTGGTGACCCCACACCCACAGATGAGCAGCTCGGGGCTCTCGGGCATCAGTCACTCTGCCTGGCAGAGCCCGAGTTGCCCCCGGAAGCGTCCCCGCCTGCCTGCCTCTAGCCCCTGCCTCTAGCCCCTGCCAACCACTGCTGTGGACACTGTCCTCGGGGTTCACAGCCCGAAAGAACGTTCTCTGCTTTTCATGCAGGTCTCAGAAGGAGAGACTACGCAACACCAAGATACACAAGTGTGAAATGCAGAATCCAGACCTCCTCATTCCACCGAGGCCCATTCCCTGCTGGGCTAGCAGGCCCCAGTCGGGCTGTACTAGTCCCTAACTTCCGTGCCTCGTGGTTCACTTCTGGGGCATCAGATTTCATGCTAGGTCGCAGCGGCTGAGGGCGCGGCCCACATTCCCAAGCCCACGTCCTAAGACTTGCAAGGATGCAACCTGACGTGCCTAAGGGTGTAAATTTCCACCACGAGTTAAGACAAATCTTGCAAAACCCCAATGACAGGGACACCTGGGGGCTCCTGTGAGCTACACTCTGAACATGCACGGGGCTAGGAGCCTGAGCCTCTCCCAGCCTGATCCCCAACAACGAGGACGCTCCTGTCACCTCCTGCTAGTGCTCTCCGGGGATGCACAGTGGGAGCCTGAGGATCTATGGCAAAGGGCAGAGACGTGCCTCGAGCCAGGAAGCAGGAGCCGTTTCCAATCTCTCCATTTCCTCTCCCCACCCGCCAATCACTCCCACCTTATCTGATTAAGCCACAATCAATTTGCTCTCTGCTGGAGCAGCAGGAAAGGGGGGCAGTGGAACCGTCCGGGTCAGGCGAGGCCTGGCAGTGGCCAGACGTTGCCGGCATGCTGATGGCCAGCCTCCTCGAGCGCTCCCGAAAAGCTGGCCAGTGGGGCTGACACTGGCCGTTCTCGGCTCCACTCTTAGAAGATACTAACCCTTCCTAGAAACAGCTCTCTTCTCCGCCTTACTAGCACTCATCAGTAGAGAGAACCCGCATCGACACTGCTGAGTGCGTTCTTTCTAGAGTTTTCCAGAGCACGCAGACACGTGTCTTCCCCCCCCAGCTCCTTCCGCCGGGGGTCTCCAAACCAGCCCTTCTCTGACACGGTACCTGCTGCCAGGCTCACCTGGGGTGTGGGGAGGGACGGAGCTGAACTCAAACCCACAGCCGTGGGTCCGTATCGGCGACGGCCCAGCCTCAAGCTGCTCTGGCATCATTTATGGGCTGGGTCTACTCCGGCCAGCAGGGCCAGACACGTGTTCTTCTGGCTGTTTCCCAACCGGCCTGGGAAGGTGTCTTGGGGCTGGCAGCAGAGTAGCCTGCAGGGCAGCCAGAGGACGGGCCCGCAGGAAGGAGGCACCGGCTGCTCCGACCGCGGTCCCCACTTTCCACGCCCTGGGAGCACGGCAGACTCGTTTAAATCGACGTACACGTCAGCCTTCACTGGTGCAGTTGCGCTTAGCCAAACACTTCTGGCCTTACGGCGGAGACCCCGAGTAACATGCGGCTGAAGCCGGGCTGCAGCAGGACCCACGGCCACGACCACGTCTTGGGCTCCCCGGTAGGATGGGCGGAGCCCACGGCCGGCCCCCAGGGAGTCTTCCACACTGGGGAAAGCCTGGCCTCCTCTGCGCCATGGCTGGCGGCCACCGGGAGCCACACGCTGCCCTGCTTACCGGGAGCCAGACCCCCCCCCTGGGCCGCCTCCTGCCACCAGCCGCGCCACTGGCTTGCCTTCGCCTCCCGTTGCCCCGCAGGCCCGTGTCGTTTCTGGCGACAAAGAACAACTAACTGTAAAACGAATAGATGCTAACACAACGTGACACTGGGAAAAGAAAACACAACGGCCCGCGTTCCTAGCACCCACACAGCTAACAAGCAGCCGCGCTTCCCTGCAGTGGTCCGGACTCAGCTCCGAGACCGGCCCACCGCCCTGTGGCCCACTGCCCTGCGGCTGGCTTCCACAGCTGGTCTCGGGTCACGAAACACTTCCCACGTCACAGCTGTAACGGCCAAGATAACCATCTGGAAACCACATCAAGCCTTGATACCCCAGGCCTGGCCGGTCCTGGGACACCCCACGTCCGCTGTCTCCGGGACGCCTCAGGTCCCGTGTCTCTGGGACACCCCACGTCCGGTGCCTTCCTTCTGTGGTTAAGGTGGCACAGAGTGGAATCAAGGGGAGACCCCCATCTGCGCTGTCTCCCAAGAAGGTGGGTGATGGAGCCCCGACCCGCAGAGAGAACGCCGGCCCCCTGGGCTGCGGCCACGGGTGGTGGCGGTTCCTCCTCAACCGCCCCAGCTGCTCCCTGCGGCTACTGCGGCAGGAGGTGGTCTTTTCCCATTCGGGAGCTCCATGCTGCGGCCGAACCTGTGCCCGGGGCAACGACCGGACGGCACGGCTCAGAGCGACTGCCGGCACAGACAGCAGCGAGCTTGAGCAGCCTGCGGCGCCCCAGCTGCCTCCTTCCGAGGGGTGGCAGCCCTGCACCCCTGCGTGTCCACGTTCACCCCGCCCCAAGCATCTCCCTTGAAAGCCCCGGCCTGCAACAACGACCCTGAAGACCAGCAACAGACACCACTCGAACACCGGAAACACAAGACAGAGAGCTCTTCGGGGAATGTGAACCGAGTAACTCCGCTTTCTTCCCAGAAACGAGGACTCGGGTTTGCAGACCGTCCTTGAGGAAAGCATCTCAGACCGGCGTCAAGGCTCCTGATCGGTCCGAGGCCGCCACACGCAGTCCCGGCACTGACCTCCCGCCTGTCCCCACCTGTGCTGAAGACCTGAGCGGGTGGCCCGGCTCCACGCCCACAGCTGGACACTGCCGGGCCATGCCGTGTGCGCCAGGGCTGTGCTGAGCCCGTGCCCCAGACCTTACCACCACCGGCCTGGGGCAGGCAGGAGGCTGGGACAGGGGAGCAGGCGGGGAAAGGAAAACCGAGGGAGGGGCGGGTGGAGAATGTCACCCCAGGAGACGCTACATCGTGGTTTTGCCTCCTCACCGGCAAAGAGCCCTCCGTTCCCTAGACCCACGGGGACCAACCTCGGGCAGAGCGCTGGCAGCAGGAGCGGCCACACGAGGGCGAGTTCGGGACGGCCCCACCCCCAAGGCGGCAGGAACACCGTGCACTTGCGGGGAGCAGGGGGCTGCAGGGCAGGTTTCTGGAACCAGGCGACTGGTTTCGGTCCAGGCTCCTCTGCCAGTTCACCGTCCCAGCCTGGTGACTCAGTCCCGTGAGGCTCCGCCTCCACAGCGGCACAACGGGGACGCCATGACCTCAAGAGCCTACGGGAGCAGTAATGGAGGTGACGGGGGTGTGACATGCGGCACAGCATCTGCTCGGTGTGAGCGCAGCTCGCCTGCTGATGGCGACCCCATGACCAGCGTGGTCACCATGGGTGTTTGACCTCTGGCACAGCCGGGGACGGGGGAGGCTCAAAGACCCGGGAGAGAGCACAGAGCACGCAGGGAGCCGTGCTGGCCAGCAGCCCCCGGTTCAAATCTTTCCTTGGGTTTCCACTGGCCGCGACGGCCTCGGAAAACCAGCCTGCTAGCGCTGGATGGGACCTCCGAGTCCGGGGGCCTGATCTCTGACCTCTCGTCTGCGAGGGGAAGGCCAAGGACCGCGGGCCGTGCCCAGAGAAGACCTGCACACAAGTGATCCAGCCACAGAACGGCCTGAACCCGCCACGTCCGCGCTGTCCTGCGAGTGCTGTGCTGGCTTTTCCTATTTTCAGATTTTGTCCGTCTTGAGTAAATGAACTCTGGCATGAACACGACCTCCTGCCACGTAATTCTGCGTGACCAGGACGTACTGACCAGAGGCCTGACCAGGACACGGTGGGGTGAGACAAGCACTTGCCCGGGACGCTTGCAGAGGACACAGGTGTACGGTCTCCACCCCCCGCCCCCTGCCGTGCACAGCAGGTGCCCCGACAGACCTGCCGGGTGAACCGGCCCAGTCAGAACCGTCCCCACGCACAGCTGGGTCAGACGCAAACCTCTCTTAAATCGCACACGTGAGCGACACCATACGCCACGCAGCGGTGTTGTGAGCAGCTGACGAATCAGTGAACTCTCCCGCCTCAGCAAAGGGTAAGACGACACACGCTACATAAACCAACTTAAAGGAGAAAGACAAACCTCTTTGGGCTCCAGCGTGCCTGGGGGCCTCTCCAGTTGGAACCAGCCTCACTCTGCACGGGGCCAGCGAGGGAAGGGAAGGGACGGACGGGACACCTGCAGGGGAGCCACGTGGCCGCCCAGCAGGAGGGGAAGCTCACAGACGGTGCTTATCTGGCGATGGAGACACTCAAAATCCCGCATCTCCTCCTAATCTCACTAGAGGGAATGATCTGATCTTCTGTCGATGCCGCTTGGTGCCTTCTACATAATTGTTACTTTCCAACCAACAATTCAGAAAGCACTTCTCAACCTTACCAGCCTTTGGAGCCAGTATTATGAATGACAACTGTCATTATACAGTATAATTTGTTTGATTCCAGACGTTTTAAACCATTATCTTGTTAAAGACTGTGCCAGTGCCCCTGTGAGACACAAGGCGGGGGCCTGCAGCATCTGCAGGACGCGTGGACGGTCCGCCACACCCAAGGGCGCGTGATGTTTCCACAGGAGAGTATGTCCCAGCTTCTGATCTACCAGTAATACTAAAGAAGAATTACATGCCAGCAGACTGGACACGCTAGATGAAATGGATAAACTCCTAGAAACACACACACCTCCAAGACAGCACAGGCAAGGACCAGCAGATCCCAACAGACCAATTACTAGTAATGAAACCCAATCAGTCGTCAAGAAACTCCCAACACACCGAAGTCTAGGATCAGACGGCTTCACAGGGGGATCCCACCAAACATTTTAAAAAGAGCACATGTCTTTCTCCAACGGTTCCATAAAACTGAAGAGGAAGGAACACTTCTAAGCTCCTTCTACGAGGCCAGAATTACCCTGACACCCAAATCAGACAAAGACACTAGGGAAGGAGAAAACAAAAAAGAAAATCTCAGGCCAACATCCCTGATGAACACAGATGCCAAAGTCCCCAACGAAGTATGAGCAAACGGAATTCAACTATACAGTGAGAGGGTCACACACTGTGAGCAAGTGGGACGCAGTCCGGGGGTGCAAGGACGGTTCAACACCCCGAGTCAGTCAACGTGACACACGTGAACGAAGGAGGACGAAAAAACCCATGATAACCCCACAGATAAAGAAGAAGCATCTGACACAACGTCTGTTTACGATAAAAACTCTCAACGACGTGGATACAGAAGGAGTGACCTCAAGGAGGACGGCCACGTGCGACAAGCTAACGTGCTCAGCGGTCAAGCACTGAGAGCAGGAAGTCAAGGGTGCCCACTCTAGCCACTTTTACTCACCCTATTATTGAAAGTCCCTGCTGCAGCAATCAGACAAGAAGTAACAGGCCTCTACATCGGAAAGAAGTAAAACTGTCACTATTCACGGATGACATGATACCGCACACAGACAACCCTAAAGCATCACCCAGAAACTATTAGACCCAATAAATGAAGTCATTAAACTTACAGGATACAAAATCAGTATGTGGAAATCTGCGGCATTTGTATGCAAGAATAAAAAATTATCAGAAAGAGAAATTTAAAAAAAAATCCCATTTACAACTACATAAAAGAGAATAAAATACCCACGAATAAATTTAGCTAAGAAGGTGAAAGTCCTGTACTCAGAAAACTGGAAGACAGCGATGAGAGAAACTGAAGATGATGCAAATAAACGGAGAGACGTTCTGTGCTGAGGCCCAGAAGAGTGTTGAAATTCCCAACGGATCCAACGCAATTCCTACCCAAACACCGATGGCATTTCTCACAGAGCTAGAATAAGCGACTTACAATTCGTACGGAAACATAAAAGACCCCCAGCCAAAGCAGTCTTGAGAAAGAGAACAAAGCTGGAGGAATCACAGTCCCTGGTTTCTTACACTAGAAGCTTAATAACCCCAACGGTCTGGTACTGGCACAAGAACAGACACACAGAGCAATGCGGTCAGACAGAGCTGAGAACGCAAGCCATCCTTTTATGGTTACTTTATCTACGACAAAGGACACAAGCACATGCAATGGGGAAGAGACAGTCTTTTCGATCAAGGTCAGGAAAACCGGACAGCCACATGCGGAAGAATGAAACCAGACTACTTTCTTATACCAGACAGAGAAATGAATTCAAAATGGATGAACTTACACGTAAAACCTGAAACCATAAAACTTCTAGAATAAAACATAGGCAGGAAGCTCTCTGACGCTGGCACTAGTGATATTTTTTTGGATCTGTCTTCCTCAGGCAAGAACAACAAAAAAACCCCAAAAATAAACAAATGGGACTATATCAAACTAAAATGCTTTTGCACAGCGAAGGAAATCAGCAACAACATGAACAGGCAGCCTACTGAACAGGAGAAGATATTTGCAAATGACATCTCTGATATCCAAAATATATAAAGAGCTCAGAAAAGTCAATGTAAAAAAACTCAACCAGGTAGAGGGCCTGAACAGACCAGTTTTCTAAAGACGTCGGGCCGGCCAATGGGCACATGGAAAGAGGTGCCACATCCCTCACCGTCATGGAAATGCACAGCAACACCACAACGCGGTGTTGCCTCACACCTCTGAGAGCGCCGGTACCAAAGACAAGAAGAAACAAGTGTCGGAGGCTGTGAAGAAAGCGGCACCTGTGCACCGCCAGAGGGATCGCGAGCTGGTGCGGCCACTCTGGAAAACAACATGGAGGTTCTTCGAAAAATTAAAACCAGAGTTAGCGTACGATCCAGCAAGCTTGCTTCTGGGCACTTATCTGAGGAAAATGAAACCGTGAATTCAAAAAGACGTGTGCCCCTCTATGTGCATTACACGGCTGTGTGTAATAACAGTCCACACGCGGCAGCCGCCTGAACGTCGGTCAGCGGACGAGTGGGTAAAAACGGTGCGGTGCGGACACGGGAGTACTACTCAGCCGTCAAGAGAGGGAAAGCTTGCCATCTGCGACACGGGTGGCTCTACACACGGTCATCTGAGTGAAATAAGTCAAAGAAACACTATGCCTTCACCTACATGTGAAATCTAAAAAACAAAACGAACAAAACAGAAGCAGACTCAGACGCAGAGAACAAACTGACAGTTGCCAGAGGGAGGGGAAGACTGGACAGGTGACGCGGACAAAGAGGGGCAAACCCTCTGGTGGACATAACTAAGACACAGGAAGCTAATGGACAGCACGGGGACAACAGCCAGCATCACCGTCACAACCTTCCATGGCGAGGCCTCCCTCACGTCCACAGCCACTGAGTCACTGCGCGGTAGCTCCGAGACAGACGCGACATTGTGTGTTCGTCGTCCCTCCACAACAGCAACAACAACTAAGGAACAGGATCTCGGGCCCCAAGTGTTGCCAAAAAACATTCACTGCCCCCTAAAGCAATTTCAGCGAGAACAAAGAGTACGGGTCAGGATGCACTGGGTCCCCCTCTCTGGGGCAGCGGTGATGGCAGTCACCGGGGCAGGCTGGGCACCAAGTGACGCGGTGCGCACTCTCCGTGGGGAGGGGCGGGGACAGAGCAGGTGAGCACGGAGCCACCACTACCTTGCTGCAGACGGCCTTCACTCTGTGGAGTCTGTCCAGGGCCTCCTGCGGATTCCCCAGGTACTGCTGAAGCTCCGCGTGCAGGATCCGCATGGAGAAGGGGACCATGGAGCCTGGAATCAAAGTCAGAGTTGAGTCAGTCCGCTGTCCTTCCGCTGCCATACCTCACACACTTCAAGGAGGGAACAGCCAGTGTCCCCGCGGACGGGCCGACACAATCCCCGCATTTCTCGGCAAAATATCCAACGATGCCCGTGACAAAATACCTGCTGGATTTCTCGGTGAGGCCGTGTAGACGCATGTTCTAGACAACTACCGGAGGAGAAAGGCGGAGGTCCCTACCGTTGCCATAGCTGTGCTTTAACTAGGGACTGCCTCCTCCTCCAGCAAAGGAAACCACAAAACACTCAAGGATTTTTGAAATGTGTTTTTGGTATGACAAGCTCAAGCGGGAGGCTGCTGACTTGGGCTGGAGTCCCTAGAAGGAGACCCCGAAAGGACGCTCCACGAGCACGTAAGGATGAGGGAAGGAAAGGGAGCGAAGGTGAGTCTCGGGCCCAGGTCGAGGCTGGAGCTTAGCCTGATTCGGTGACGTGTGTGTGCATGTGCGTGTGTGTGTGTGTGGCTCTGGGCAAAGGCTCTGTCACAGGTGCCCCGACAGCAGGCAAAGGAGCTGCACTTGAAAACTCCGCCCCCAGGCCTGGCCCCCAGGGACCGTCGGCGAGCGAGCTGTGGGGGGACAAGGCAGCTCTCCGAAGGGCTGCCCCCAAAGTGAACTGAGACGGTGTCTGGTTGTGGCTGCGTCTCCCGGGACGAGGGGATGTCTTTATTGATGTCATGTCTCTTCTCCCAGGATTGGAATCTGACATACGGTATATACGCGAAGTACATAAAAACCATCAAAATAACCAAACAGCCTGAGCTGGTCACACAGCAGATAATGGATGTGAAGAGGACAACATGGGGCGACCCTGCAGAGTCAGAAGAGGCTCTTCCACGCAGATTGGAGGGAAATGTCTGGATGCAAAGTACGGTTTGGAGATGGTCAGCAAACAAGACGTGTGCAAGCGACAGCCTCTCTGGCCTCTGCCCACCCGCTGGACCACTAATTGCCAGGGAGAGTCCGCCGCGAGCCATACCAAGACGGCTTCCCAACCGAGCTGTTCCTTCCCCTGACATGCTGGGATGCTCCGTGGTGTTTAACAAAGGCAGAAGGAAGACCTACAGGGAAGTCACAAATAAGGAACTCCACAAAATGTAGGTTCTGTGGTGATTTTAAGTCCAGAGAAAAGAAAGATGACAGTTACTGAATTTTAATTTTTTTTTAACCCCCCCCCCCACCACGACGTGGTTTTTTAGAACACTAGAGCACTACATAATTCCTATGTCTAAAGAGGATGAATGACTGAATTTCCATTCTGGAATGAGCTGTCTGCTTCCTGGAAAGAAGCGTCTTGACCGTGAGCATCACTCACTACAGGACTGTGCTACCCTGGCAGGACACGCGTTCGTGGTGTCATTTCCAACCCTCGTATCAAGTCAAGAGCAGGTGATAATCCCGCGTGGGTCAGAATTCACCTGCAGACAGAGAATACCTCTAGAACTCTGTAAGTTCTGTAGGATAAGCACAGACACAACCTTCGACTGCACGTTCCCAAACCGGTTTGTAAATGAGCTGAATACAAGACGAGGTGGCAGAAGCACGAGCTGTGCACACTGCGAGTGCCCACGCACCCAAGGACGTGTCTACGGTTAAAAGGACATGCAAAATCATTTGGAGCTAAATGAGAGTCAAAGTACAACTTATCAAAATTTGTGAGATGTTGCAAAAGCAGTGCTAGGAGGGCATTTTACAGCATTAGATGAGTATATTTGAAAAGAAAGAAAATCTCAAAATCAGCATGTTCCACCTTAGAATACTAGAGAGAGGCAGGCAATATAGAAGAAAAAGAAAATAAAAATTAAAGCAGAAATCAATGACATTGAAAACAGGAAATCAACAGAGAAAACCAATAAAACTCAAAGTTGGTTTTTATTAATTAATTAATAAATTAATTTATTAATAAATTAATAAAATTGATAAAGCTCTAGCCAGGCTAACAAAGAAATGAAAGAGAGGACATGAATTACTAATATCAGAAATATAAGAGAGGTCATCACTACTGATTACATGGACCTTAAAAAGATAATAAAGGAATACTATGAGGAACTCCATGACCACAAATTTTGTAACCTAGATGAAATGGACTAATTCCCTCAAAGATACAATTTAATAAAAAATCACACAAAAAGGAAGAGATAATCTGAATAGGCCAATTATCTACTTAAAAATTAAACCAAGAAATAATAACCTTTCAAAATAGAAAGCACCAGGCCCAGATGGTTTCACTGGTGAACTTCACCAACCATTTAGGGAAGAAATGATACCAATTCTCTCCACTCTGTTCCAGGAAATAGATGCAGAGTGGACACTGCCTCATCTATTCTATAAGGCTAGCCGAACGTTAATACCCAAACTAGACAATGACATCACAGGAAAAGAAAACTATAGACCAGTACGGCTCAGGAATGCAGATACAGATATCGTCAACCATCAGCAGATCAAATCCAATTAAACGGAATCCAACAAAAAATTAGCAAATCAAACCCAAAAGTGCATAAAAAGAATTATATACCATGACCAAGTGGGACTTATTCCAGCTACAAAAGCCCGGTCCAACACTCAAAAATCAATGTAACCCAACACATCAAAGAGGCTAAACAAGAAAAGGCACATGGTGTACCAACAGATGCGAAAACCACATCTGACCAAATATGTCGCGATAAAAACTCTCAGCAAAGGAACAGAGAACTTCCTCCGCTTGATAAGGGACATCTACAGAAACCTATAGCTAACAACAGCCTTAGTGATGAGAAACTAAATGTTTTCCCCCCTAAGATCCTGAACACGGAAAGGATGTCCTCTTTTTACCACTCCTATTGCAAATAATACTAGAAGTCCCAATTAATGCAATAAGACAAAAGAAAAAAGGTGGGGGGGAAGGTGTATAGGTTAGAAAGAAGAAATAAAACTGTTTTTGCAGATTATAAAATCATCTACACGGAAAATCCCAAAGAACTGACAAAAAACAAAAACAATCTTCCTCAAGAAATAAGCAAGTAAAGGAACAGATACAAGGTTAATCTGTAAGTCAACTGGTTTGACTTACACCAGCAATGAATAACTGATTTGAAATTAAAAACACAAGAACATTGGGGCGCCTGGGTGGCTCAGCCACTGAAGGTCATGATCTCGGGGTCCTGGGATCCAGCCACGTGTCAGGCTCCCTACCCAGCGGGGGGCCTGCTTTTCCCTCTTCCTCTGCTTCTCCTCCCTGCTGGTGCGTTCTCTCTCAAATAAATAAATAAAATCTTAAAAAAAAAAAAAAAAGAGAGAAAAAAATACTTCTTCAAAAAAAAAAAAAAAACCACAAAACAAAACCCCCAAAACAGTACTGTTTATGTTAACTCCAACATAAATAAAATAGTAAGATCTAAATCTGGCAATACATGCACAAAGTCTTTATGAGGCAAATCATAAGGCTCTGGAGAGAGAAAGCGGAGAAGACGTGAATAATGGGAAAGGTGCTCCCAGAACAGACTGGAAGATTCCACAGTGCCGAGGTGTCCATCTCACAGCTTCATCTGCAGAACCAAAGCAATCGCGGCCAAAGCCCCCTGTGATTCTGTGGACGTGGACGTCCTGATTCGCAGCTGTACGTGGGGAGGGAGAAGATCATACATTTTCACCATGACTCTGAAGAGATGAGCAAAGCCGGAGAACAGACACCGCCCAGCTTTACAACTTACTGTGACAGTAGTGGAACAAAGACTGGGACACTAGCAGAAGAACAGAACATGTCCAAGGAACAGAACGTAAAGCCCAGAAACAGGCTTCATAAATGCAGTCAACTGATCGCTGACACAGGGTAAAGCTAAGTCAATGGAGAAAGGGCAGTCCCTTCAGCAAACAATTCTGGGACGACTAGACACTTATGTGGGGGGAAATCATCTCAACGCAGACCCTCCATCCTTCACAAAGCTCAAGTCAATATGGGTAACAGACCTAAATGTAAAATGCAAAACCGTGAAATGTCTAGAACAGAACACAAGAGAAAATCTAAGCGACCTGGGTCTGGTGATAAATTTTTAGATACAAAACCAAAAACAAGATCCATAAAAGAAAAAAAAAAAACCCCACTAGACTCCTTATTAAAAACTGCCCCATGAAAGACGATGTCAAGAGATTAAGAAGACAAGCCAAAGACTGGAGAAAATATCAGCAAAACACACATCTGGTAAGGGCCTTGTATCCAAATATACAAAAAACTCTTAAAAATCAACAGTAAGAAAACAACTCAGTAAATGGACAACAGATCTGAACAGATACCTTGACAAAGGTATACAGATGAAAAAAAAGCAAGAAAAATGTGCCCCATCATAGACCTGTCATTAGGGAGCTATAAACTGCAAATTAAAACAATGTAACAGTATCACTAGACATCCATGAGAATGGTTAAAATCCAGAAAGCTGATAACACCAAATGCTGGTGAAGATGTGGAGCAACAGGAACTCTCATTCATTGCTGGTGAAAATGCAAATGGTACAACTGCTCTGGAAGACGGGCCTGCGGTTACAACACCAAACACAGGCATACCGTATAGTCCCGTGTATTTACCCACATAACTTCAGAATGTGTGCCCACACAAAACCGGGCACAAGAAAGTGACTATTCGTCATTGCCCCCAAACCAGAAGCAACCAAGATGTCTTCTGACAGGTGAGTGAATAAACTGGTACATCCAGACAATACTTTTCAGGACTAAAATGAAATTTGCTACCAAACCACAAAAAAGCCCGGAGGCATCCTAAATGCCCCTGGCTATGTAGAAGACGCCAGCCTGAAAAGGCTGCGTATTACAGGATTCCAGCAAGAGGACAATCTGCAAGGGGCAACTCTACGAAGCCAGTCAAAAGATCGGTGGTTTCCTGGGGCTAGGCGGGAGGGAAGACAGAGGATGTTAAAAGGGCAGTGAAACTATTCTGTGGGATACCATAATGACAGATACGAGTC